ACACGGACAGAGCCACATGAGAGCCGACTCACAGGATGTCCACGTTGGTTGGTAAATAAAAGTACCACTTATGTGACAAGGATTTAAGAGAAGTGCATCTCCAACATTAGATTCAATTCAATTTTATTTGTATAGCACTTGCAGCTGCAGTGGAACAGCAGAAAAGAAAATGGAGATAATCTGAGCAAGTAACCTCGAGAGGGTCTACACTCATGTGAGAGCCCATCTGTCTGACTCAGAATAGTGGAATTATCTATAAAATATAAAAATAGAGACAAGTTGGTATCCTAACATCTTCCCTAACTCAAAAAGCACACAATGAGACCAATAGTTCGAAATATATTTTTTAATTTTGAGCGTTTATGGCCTAACTGACTACCAAATGCAAGCTGTGTCATTACAGTGATTAGAAACTTGGGTATTGAAATTGATCATGACCAACATTCTTGGATATTACATGAACACATTCATGTGTAACTTTAAGATCAGAAACTCGCAATTACAATAAATTAGTACATACATTAATACATATATGGAACAAATCCGTTAATGCCAATTAGGATTTGTACAGCTTTTGTTTCAAGCAAAGCATTTTTCCAGCACTTTAACTCAATATACGCCACATGGCTTTGAAATAAACAGGAGTTAAAAAGGCACTAGTTAAATATCCAAATGAAAGTAATTTAACTAGTTATAAAATGACTTACAGTAACAGCTAGTTACCTCATGACGTGTACATCAGCTTGCAGTTCATATTTTGGCACAAATTATAAATCAGTTTCTTTCCTGGTCTTGCATTATCTACAAAGTGTTTAACCCTTGCCATACCTTATTTTCTGGCCAGTCAAAAAAGCATAAAGATATAATGTTATGGAGCAGGTAATGATTTCAAACTTGAGGGCATCTGCTATCTCTCAAATCCTAAAGCTGGCCATGCAGTTATGAGGTTAACTGCCAACACCCGGCAGGAGACACTAGACAAAGCACAGCATGTGAAGTGTTGCTCGTGGCCTGATTTTCAAAAAAATAAGTCATTTCTGACCTTAGCAGCAGTGATGTTGAGCTCCCTCAGCTGAGCCTTCAGGTCGGAGTTCATCTCCAGCTCGAGAAGAGCCTGCCACAGAGAAACCAGGAGAACCATTCAGCACAAAGACCAGTTAGAGAAGCGAGAAATGAAGGATGTGTGTTTTATCATCTTACCTGAGAAATGCCAGACTCGAACTCATCTGGCTTTTCGCCATTCGGCTTCACGATTTTCGCGCTGCTACTGAACATGGCCTATGACTGAAACAGAGGAACAGCAAGTCAGCCAGCAGCTCAGAGCTCACACACACACAGAGCAGCTCCTGCTTCTACAGCTACATTACACTGAGGACAGGGTTCTGCGGCTCTAGCTAGCTAACACACAGCCATTAAGCAGCTAACCAGTGAAACAGCCATGAATAAACTAAACACTGGAGCAGTAAATGAGTAATTTCACTACACAGCTGCTGAAGACTGCAGGAGAAAACGAGCTGTTTAAGCGACAACTCATCTCGGCGTGGTCTCATTAGCAGCGCCAGCTAACATCCATCCCTCACTAGCAAGGAGCCAAAGGTAGTCAGCTACCAAACACACGTTTTACGCAGTTTTAATCCAAACTGGGAACAAATTTGCTCAAATTACCTAAAATTCACTCCCCATACATCAGAGCCTCAGCCGGGCCCAAGCCCTTTCTAGCGCGCTTCTCCATGTACAGCGAGTCACCTCGGCTAGCCATGTCACAAGTCTCAAAACTACTTTCTCCAAACTGCCATCCGACTCAACAAACGCCTTTATCTAACGTATCCCGGTGTGCTTACACGATATCACCAAAGAAAATCGGAACAAGCTGCCTATTTTCGACATTTTACCACGTTATCTGTTCAAGACATTCCACTGAACTAACCTACCTCAGTCAACGACGGCCTGGAAAGAGGCCGTAATCTCGCGAGAGGCCGGTAAAAGCGCGTCGCCCCGAGGATCATGGGAAATGTGAGCGGGAAATGCGTTTGCTCTTCCGGTCTATAGAGGGCGCGCGCTAGCTTTTGACAACAAGGGACAGCTTGTATGCTGTGTGTATATATATAAAATGTATGCATGTGTATATATATATATATATATATATATATATATATATATATATATATATATATATATATATATTTCACCCAAAGGAATCTGAGGTTTTATTTTACATCAGTGACAAAATTTCCAGCAAAAATATATAGTATAGTATTGAAAAAACATATACAACATTTCACCAACCTTTCACCTGTTCAACTACGCCCTACCCACCCTTTCCACTTTATTACACATTTACATCACAAGACAGGGAGCATGGTGTGTGTGTGTGTGTGTGTGCTGTAGAACATTCAACAGGAAGTAGGAGCTGGAAAGAGAGCTGTGACTATCAGGAAAGATGATAAATAACACAACTCTGTATAGAGCATCTGGGCTTAAGGCAAGACACCGCAGATCAATAAGGTCATAAAAAAAAAAAAAAAAAAAAGAAGAAGAAGAAACAATAGCTATCACAATCAATCTTTGGGTAAGAAACTACCCATTTATTCTCACAGTGCCACTTCTCAGCTCCAGGGTCTCAGTTTGATCCAGTGCTCAGGTTACTGTCCGTGTGGAGTTTTTGTGCATGTTCTCCCCGTGTCCGTGTGGGGTTCCTCCAGGTTCTCTGGTTTTCTCCCATCTCCCAAAAACATGGCAGTAGGTGGACTGGTTAAGAGAAAATGCCTCTATGTGTGAATGTGTGTGTGCATGGTGTCCTGCCATGGATTAGGCACAATGGCCTGCTGGCTCAGCGGTTAGGGCTCTGGACTTCTTATCAGTAGTTTGTGAATTGTACTGCCAAGCTGTCACTGTTGGGCCCTTTGAGCAAGACCCTTAACCGTTATTTGCACAGCTCAAAAGCTTCTGTCAGATGAATAAATATAAACTTGAGAATACATTCAGCTTCCTTTGGGTGCCGGAACATGTAGGAGTGCGTGTGTACATAAATTAGTAAAGCAGGCCCTTAAAATAAACAACACTGAAATAAGAGTTAAGTAAATCAAAAGCTAAAACAATTATAAGAGATTTTGCAAACAAAGGATACAAAAAAAGCATGAAAGAAATCTATATTACATCCAGAGGCAAGTGGGAGCTGGGAAGATGTGAAGAGAAGGAAAGATGGAACTAATACCAGCACTACCCTTTATAGGGCAAACATGAACTGTTACAGTTCCTAGATTGTGTAAATGAAAGAAAAGAAATTGAAGAAAAAGAAATTATATAACACTAAAAAGACTGCAGCATTCTCCATGAAGAATGCAAGTAGGATTTATAGACTTTCTAAAAACTACAGTGCTGTTTAGTAGGATCTAATTATAATTTTTCAAGAATTCATTTCTCCTTTCTATCAATAAGAATATAAAGGTTAAATCATATACAGTGGATATAAAAAGTCTACACCCCTGTTAAAATTGCAGGTTTTTGTGATGTAGAAAATGAAACCAAGATAAATCATATCATTTTCCACCTTTAATTCGATATAGCACCAATAAAATTCAAGTTAAAAATAAATATAAATGTTTTAGGGGGAAAAGAAGAAAAGGGGAAAAAAAATGCAACAATCTGTTTGTACAAGTGTGCACTCTTTTGCTTGTAAAATAATCTTTTTTTTAGCACTCAGTCTTTTGGATAAAAGTCTACCAACGTTGCACATCTTGATTTGGCAATTTTATTTCACTCTTCCTTGCAGAAACGTTCCTGATCTACCAAAACGCAAGGTGATTTCCTGTGCACAACCCTCTTCAAGTCATTCTACAAGTTTTTCTATTGGATTAAGATCTGAGGTCTGACTGGGCCATTCCAAAAGGTTGATCTTATTCTTCTGAAGCCATTCCTTTGTTGACTTGGATTTGTGCTTTGGGTCGTTATCCTGCTGGAAGGTGAAATTTTTCTTCTTGTTCATCCTTCAGGTTTTGTGCCAAAATAGATTGGTATTTGGAGCTATCAATGCTTCCCTCTATCTTGACGAGAACCCCAATCCCAGCTGAAGAGAATTAGCCCCATAGCATGGTGCTGCCACCACCATGCTTCACTGTGGGTATGGTGTGGTTTGCGTAATAAGCTGTTTTGTTTTTGTGCCAAACGTGTCTTTTAGAATTAGGCCCAAAAAGTACTACCTTGGTCTCATCAGAACGTAACACATTTTGGCACATGGTTTGGGGTGATTTTAGAACATAATACATTTTTCCACATGGTTTGGGGCTTTTATTCTTGAGAAAGGGCTTCTGTCTAGGTAAATCCTTTGCAGTCAATGACTACCTGAAGTCTGGACCCCATGGACATCACCAAATGCTGAGTTTCCTCCCTTGAGATGATTTGCCAGGTCTTTACTGCAGCCATCTTCAGTTGCTGCTTGTTTGTGGGTCATTCTGCCTTCAGATTTGTCTTCAGTAAGTGAAAAGCAGCTCAGTTGGGTTGAGGTCAGGTGA